ATTTTGTGCTAAAAACTCAAAAAATATCATATCTGTACATGTCAAAATATCCTCTCCTTATAGTAGTAGGAGCTGGGACCAAGGCGAGAGGAGAATGAACAGAGGAATGCGCAGGAGCGCACATTATTGTAAAGAAAAATAAAGGCTGTTAACTGTCATCTGTGTCAGTGTCATTGTTTGGGCTAAGAACAGAAGCCTGAGAACACGATCAGAGCATTTAGGAGTAGGGCGTTAAATTAGGGTCAACTTTCACCAAACACAAGAGCACAAACTTTACAGCAACATCCTATACATAACTGCGCAGAACAAAGTACAAGAGTATCTGTCAGACAAGGGGAGATGCTGAGAGATGCTACGACGCATGAGCCAATCAGCATGAGGAACAGAAGATCATGCTCAATGATGTGTTCGATCTCCTCTAGGTAAACAAAGCTACCAGCAATGTCTTTTAATTGATTTTTTGCTATTTTTTTTCTAATATTTTTCTTTAGGTTATAAAATGTTTTTTATCACAAAAATTATGACAATATTGTAAATTTAAAAAATATTTAACATAAAATACTGCTATATAGCGAAACTATATCGTGGTATTGTGCTAAAACTCCAAAAACCATCATATCTGAACATGTCAAAATATCACCAAAAACAAGCAAGACTTTAGTCTTATTAACACATAAAAATGCTAAACTATAAAAATCATCCTATCAATCTCATCTGCCTGGTACTGTTCTGGGAAGTACATGGTCAGAGGTGGGTAGTCAGCAGTAAATATAAGAACAACTTACCCCATAATGAGCCAGTATCAATACAGTTAAAGTTAAGACTCCACAACTGGAACTGTCCTTCTGGGTGGGTGGGGGGAGGTCCAGGGGGGTTCTGGTAGCTTCTGTACTGTCCATTCTTCCTCAGTCGATCGTCTTTTCCTCTGAAAGTTTCTAAAGTTATGGAAATCCATAATAAGTGAACATTTTATAATAAACAACAAGAAGGTACAAATGCAACAACCAACTAAGCTGTAGGGGGTTTAAAAGAGAGCACTAATAGCACTCATAGCCTTTGTGCCCTAATGCCTGTTGATGAAGCTCGTAGTCTGTTGCATGTTGTTGGCATGTTGCCATTGCATTGCATAGCATTGTGTCTGTGGTTTGCTGTTGCAGTGGTGCCTATAATACCTGTGTCTGGGTGTATAACAGTTTTTAAATCTAAAATATATAAATTGGACTTTCTGGTTAACTAAAGATTAAAAATTGGTAAATAGTGATACTACCTCCGATTAAGAAGAATTCCTCTTTCATTGAGTTTCCCATTTCCCAAGGGGTCAATTACGATGAGGGTATTTTCCTCCATACTGGTGATCTGTCAAAATATTACAGGAGAAGTGATTTAGTCCTAAAATGTACAAATGAAGCAACATGCAAATTTTGAAACATTAAGGGAGTTTCATCTAATAAAATAACAGAGAACACAGCAATTAGACCTACCAATAAAGGGTTGAACAAATGCAAATGTGCATTTAAGTTAACAATCTTCAGCTCCAAAATGATCACGAAGAAAGAGGGGTCTGTAACATTATACTGTCAAAGATTTGTCAAAACACATTAACGATAATATGACGAAATGTCGGAAAAGATTGGCTGTGCTATCTGAATTCTCCTCCAACACATTAAGAACAAACTTTAATTGAAAAATGGATGCGGGCTGTAGAGAAGCACCGAGATCTCTCAGCTTGGCGTTGGTAACAGTTATTTACAGTGGTTTACTAAGCTGTTTAACTGTCCACAATAACATATTACGGTCGGTTATTATAAGTATTGTTGTTAGTATTACTATTTTATTATTGATTATTGTTCTTATCGAAGCTGTCTGAGATGGACAGAGGGGAAAAACAGCCAGGCTGTGAATGCACGTTAAAAGAAAACAGTAACTGCGCTACTTACTGCAGCTCAAGGCATCACAATCAGGGCTTATATTATCATTACCACAAAGAAGAAAGACAAGGACAACGTTTAACAATTTCTTATATATACTTTTTACTCACTTTCTGCCGCCGATCTGCAGTCAGGTTCGGGAAACGTTACGTGAGGCGCTGGCGATTGCAATTTTTCAAGATGTCCGGAAGTTAGTTTTTCCTCTATTACTGCAATATTAGTAATTGCAGTTTTAATTCTTTGTTCAGTCCGTGTTTTAAAGGAAACTAAGAATTTCCTCGTCGTGCCGCTGTGAAAGATTACCATGTAAATAATCTCCAAACGATCATTATAATTCCCAAAGTTTGCGGTACTCTGCGGCCATTTTGCAGCATGGGCAATTTAACGACACACCTGCAGCCCTAGCTCTGAATACACTGATGTCTCTCGATCAGTTTCACACCCTGGTGGACAGATGAGGAGTTTACACCTCACCAAGTGACTGTTCTTCTGACTTGTTTCACCAAAATTGTCTTCATTTCGTCGCAATAGTTTCATACAGTTTAAGTCACACTTGTTCACCAAGCAGATGACAGTGTTTTCAATTGAAATCTTATTTCGGTGTATAGTTTCATACAGTTTAAGTCACACTTTGTTCACCAAGCAGGTGAACGGAAAGCTCTGTTCACTTTCCGTAGTAAAAGAGCTAAGTGCGAACTCAGTCAAACATTTCCTGTAATAAAAAAATGACAATAAAGATTGTTGAAATTATGAACCATTGTTGAAATATGAAAATGTAAACATAGGGGAAAGCGATCAGAGACAATTTGGGTTTCGGTTTGGACATTTTGCTAGGAGGAAATTGTAATAACTTCTAACTGAATACCCCTGGTATGTCATTTTGTTGTCAATTTTTTGCATTGCTAAAAATAAGCATACATTTCACTTCCAGTCATAGTGTAGTATGACTTTTATGGTCAAAGTTTAGCATTGGAAATTTTGATGTTTGGGGCATTTCAAGAACAGATCAATATAAATATAAACAAAATAATTCAATATCAGATTCAAATATTGGGGATTTTTATACAGCATTGATTTGCCTGGTCTTTTGCAGACCACTTATACGGCCAGATCCCAGGCCCACAACCAGGGGTTTGACACATATAAACAGTTCCCATTACAAGTATTAAAAAGGAAGACATTGCTTCACACATTTGACACATGTACAGTTTATTCTGTTCTGCCATGTACACACTGCAGCTGCTAAGCCTTGTTAGCGTTTCAGGTTGTTATTTTTTTTTTTAAAGTAATAATTTGATAGAGCCATTCATGCCCGCGTAGATATTTGCGTTGTTAATATGGTTATACTGTTTATCAGCGTGGAAACAAGATGCTCTTTTATCAAATCACTTTTGGACATTTTTTTTTTTAATTCCTCCAGCAAATCACACACAGCACGTGGCATCGCAAATATCCTGTGGTTACGCTGTACATAAAAACAAACACACCGCATCAGTCCGAACACAACTTTCATAGCCACTCAACTTTTTCTCTAAGGAGGAGATTGTGGGACTTCATCGTTAGCTTTACGACACATTCGAACGCACACACAAACACACATGGCTCTAGGCTCTGACTGTACAAGGTCACAAAGGACAGCAATAAATAGACACAAACATGTTAAAACCTAAAAGTGGGTGGAAGTGGATTTGTTATGTGAGGCTAAAGCATCTTCATGACGAAAGAAACAAAAACATTAAAAAAAGGTAAGTCCGGGGTTTTATTAGTGTCAACAAATCCACACTGCTTCTCGCTGTGACTCAGGTTCAGGCCTGACCTCTTAAAAAACAACCTAAACTAAAGAAACAAACAAACTAAATGTGATTTGAAACTAATTAAAAATAAAAACAATCAACCTCACACGAACATTACGGATTAGTGCATCTGTTGGGGTTTTTAAAAGCATTTAAAATGTATTGACCGAATAAACAACAAACATGCTAAATTCTAAGTAAATATTCTCAACTCCTTCAAAATAAAAACCAGCATAAACTTTAAAATATATTATTAATATATACATAAATAATAGGCTTATAATTATAAAGAGAGTGAAAAACGTAAATCTGTGACTCTGACCCAAATAGTTTTGAGTCCTTGTGTCCTACATTTCCTTTCGTTCATTCAATCCTTATTTCCAGCTCTAAACCCAACATCAAGGAGATTCAGTGCTGAGAAAACTTCTTCGGCCAGCAGGGGGAGAACTACGGCTAATGTCAGTGCAGTGGCCACTATTTTTGCTCTACTTACGAACAAGCCGACTCGCTGCAGCTGTCTCCCTGTACATTGTCTGCATCCAACACCGTCTTAAGCGGTTGGACGGAGCATAGCAGCAGTTACGATGATGGTAAATGGGATTGTCTGACTTGAACGGAACAGATTTGAAGAGTTTCCACCGTAATAATTTAGCAGGAGATGCCAATTGCCATTTCCTGTGCGATTTGTTGACAGTAAAAAGAATTCCAGCCAGACTTGACCTTTTTCAAGGCTCAGTGAAGGACAGTAACGGTACCGTGAGTGAGGCTGCAGCCTGAGGTGAGGAGAAGCAGCACAAAAGGCGACACAGAGCAAAACAGGAAGTGAGCACGTTGACATGGACAGTTGAATTAAGTGCATTAAAATTTGCCCAACACTACTTACACACACTGTATGTACACAGACACTCTCACACGCACGCTCTGAGGTGGCAGAAAAAAATGTAACTACATACGAACACATGCTGTGAAAGACACAAGGACAAGAGAAAGAACTAGGCAGATGCATCATGGGAAGACAAAAGGTGTGCTTGCACAGCCATTGTAAACAGATCAGCAGGTTGATGAATCTGTGATGAATCCAACTTTGACTTTGACTCCAGCTGAATCAGCGTGCGTACAGCAGGTCAGGACGGACGAAGGTTTTCAAATGCTCTCATATTTTCTCTCTTTTTGGCCGTCACCCCCTCCACCCCCCAGAGTCCAAGCACAATCCTTTCATCCCTTTTATATACAAGTGTTTTACAAGAGTTCCTAAAGAAGTGGCCCGTGCGTGAGGCAAGACATCCGAGGAAACACTCCCGTGTTTGATTTTGACCCACACCGCAGGAGCCGAAAAACAAAAAATGTGACATGGCATATATTGAACTCAAACGAAAACAAAGTCTGCCATCTTTGGTTACAAAAAAGAGCAAGTGAAACACAACGCAGTGGAAGGAAAAGCACAAAACGCTGTTCATCAGTGAGGACAGACAGGAAGTGGACAGACATGGGAGGACTCAGGGAGAAGCACTGTAGAAGCAGCTGCTCAGTCCACGTCACACTCCCCCTCCTCCTCTTCTCCATCGTCCTCGCCGTCGTCCTCGTCCTCCAGTTTATCGTCACAGTAGTGTTGGAGCAGGCGGTGCAGGTGCTGCTGTAGGGCGTCGGGCTGCAGGGCCTCCGGCGTGTCTTCCAAACTCTCCAGATGCACCTGCTTCCCGTGGGCATCCCTCACCACGGTCCTCTTCTGGGTCCGGGACTTACGCATTTGGCTTCTGCAAAGAGACAACCGAAATAAAGTAGGAACGAATCCAGATTAGACTGAGTGAGCAGCTCTGTCCTTTCACCTCGCTCTTCTTGTCTACTTACATTTTGCATCAGAGTCTCATAGATCCAGGCATAGTACCATATACCAGTGATTTCCAACCGCTTGATTGGTCTGAAAACTGTTATTTCTTTACCGCATATAAGTTGTTTTTGTCGATGTGACAGTGACAGGCCGAACCAATAAATACTTTTACAGAAGGTGGCAGCAAGTGGCTATAAAAACTAAATAAAGAGACTCAGAACTATTGTGTTTTTTTCTTCAATTCCTGCGAGTACATCAGTGTTGTGTTCAACTGAAAAGGCCCAGGTTTCACACTGAGTAAAATGAAACTTGAAGAAACTTTCATTAGATGTACTTTTTGCAAGGTGATGCCCTGTGGGATTTTACTAGCGTAAAATAAGTTCCATGGCTAAAAAAAGATCAGAAAACACTGCTTTATGCTTTAGTAAGAATCACGTTGGTTGGTCACTTACTCAGTGGTTTGCCACAGTGGTAATCGTATCGTAGACAGTTTATACAACCTGTCACATCAAACCTTAGAAGCTCCTGGTGGGAGACTGCTATCACTACTACTGCACTACTGTAGTATAAGTTATTTGACTTCTATATAGTGGGGCTTCAAGATACGAGCTGCCCAAAATACGAGTTTTTTCAAGTTACCAGTAAGCAACTTTACAAGATTTTCTGCATGATACATAGCAACATCGAGTTACAAGTGTTCAACCGAGCTCCATTTTTCCACTCGACTTGTTATTTTCACGTCCCTCTATTTCTCTCGTTCCCTTTGTCTCTCTCTCTCCTTCTCTCTCTCTCTTTCTATCATCTAAATTGAATCCTCACTCCCAGTCCTTCTCCTACCTTAGTGACCTGGACACTCGTCCACTGTCCCTCGTTGGGTTATTTTATCCATTTGTATAACAATAATATAAAATGTTTTCTTAATTATTATTATTTTATATTCTCAATATACTGTATTTGTCTATATCTATGTTTTTGATGTTTAGATGGGGGGAAATTAATAGTATATTTCTGGGGGGCTGGAACAAATTAATTGTTTTTTAATGGGGAAAATGCATTTGAGATACTAGTGGATTGCCATACAAGTACTGTTGTGGAACGGATTAAAGTCGTATCTTGAAGTCTCACTGTACTTTGTGTTCTGTGACAGTTTCACTATAACAGAGCTAAAAAAAAAAAAAGTTTGTTATTTGAAATTGTGACTAATTTCTCACAAAGTCTGCTGGTCAAACCATGCACCCTAATGACCAAACTCCACTTCTAGCTTGGTTAGTATGGACACTTATCACTTCAAATACCGTGCTGAGTTATCTGTCTGACTTCAGGTGTCAGGAAAGTGAAAATCACACCATGCTTTCATGTTACTCGGTGCTAAAACTGCCATTCCTACACATCCCCCATGCTGCCTTCCAACCTTCGAATCACAGAGCCATCATCCTGAACAATCTCTTTCTCTACTACATGAGGCAGGAGCGCTTTCCCAAAACCTCCAGCATAACTCAAAGCCTGGGGAGAAAGAGATAAGAAGAAAGAAAACTGTAGAGTCTTCTCAACATTATCAATCGGTTCCATCAGTGCAGGAAGGCTGCATCTCCAACTTTGGAAATTTCCTGCTAACTCTTAAGATTTACTTGTCCTCCGGAATAGGACAAAAAGAAAATGCTGACCTTCTCAAAGTCCTCTCTGGCCGAGGGAAGATCTTTAGCCAGTGATTGGTCTCCACTTTGCTTCTCCGTCCTTTTGCCTGTCACCACTGTTTTCTTCACGACCTTGCTGACCTTTCGACCCTGCACTGGTTCTACCTCAAAATCTGAGGGCGTTGCTGCACCGAGAGCCAACGGTTCTGAAAACGTCAGCTAAAAAGAGAGACAGAGAAGAAAAAAAAATACATGGCAACTCTAGAACGTGACGTGAACCAGAAAGTTCTTTGGACTAGCTGGCTGATCATATTAGGAGCCAAGAAATGATTGGAAATGTCACTGCAGCAACGTTAATTTGTTGCTATCATTATTGAAAACCGACCTCTTTCTGATCTCCCCCACTGTGAAGCACAGTTCTCTTCACCACCCTGGAAACGGTATCTCCCTCCTCTATCTTCACCATCTCCTGGTGAGAGCCCTCCATCGTCACTTCCTGGGTGTCCATGCCATCGGCCGATACGTATTTGCGAATCACTCTCCGTGTGATCTGGTCAAGACAAGGAGAATGGCAAGAACTGTTAATCCATGTTGGCTTGAGCTGAACTTTTAAACACGTTTGTGTCTATGTTTCATTTTAACAGAGGTGGAAAAAGTACTAAAAATGTGTAATTAAGTAAGAGTATTACTTTACTTCTTACTTTACTTTACTACATCTAAGTAAAAGTACCCATCTAAAAATCTACTTGGGGAAAAAAGTAAAAAGAAAATACTTAATTTAAAATTTACTTGATACTAAATGTATTCTGAGTAAAAGTTAGTTAGTTACTTTAAATTACTTGATGCAAAACAGACATCCAATCTACAACTAGTTGTTTTTTTATTATCAATAATTCAAATACAAGTGGCAGAAATTGAGAATTCTATGATCCATTTGAACTCTCCTATTGCAAATTCAAGCCACTAAAGAACACTTAAGGTTGAACAGCGACACCTCTGTCAACCGGGTCAGGTGCATTTTACATTTAATGATAAAGTTATTTCCTTGTTTGTATTTGAAAACAAAGAACTGGCTGAGATATGGCCAAGGATTTCCTTCTCCTTCTGAGTCCTGAGTCTGAGTTCTCGACTTGGCAATCCTCAACCCCCACAACAGCCATCATCCAACAGCAGATTAGAGTCTGCCTCTTGGTCAATGTTCTCTGGGTACATTATGCAATTTTCTTTTTTTTGTTTTTTACTCAGTAACGTGGCCTCAACCCCCACAACAGCCATCATCCACAACAGGATAGAGTCTGCCTCTTGGTCAACGTTCTGTTGGTACATTATAATAACGCAATTTTCTTTTTTTTTTTTTTTTACTCAGTAACGGGGTCTTTTCACATGTAGCAACGTAAAATTACCTGTTCCCAAAACTTCTTAAAAATTAGAAATTACTCACAAAAACGACTTAATTACAGTAACTTGAGTGAATATTTACTTTGCACCTCTGCATTTTAACGTTCCTTACTTTTTTCACCACCATATTGCCGTGCTCGTCTGTGTACTTCTCCTCCGTGACAGTCTGTGCGGGGATTTCTGGCAAGTTATCCGCCTGCAAAAACACAACCGATGACAGGTAAGTACACATTTATTTAGTTTCAGCTTTTCCATAATTGTAACAAGCGTCCGTTTCAAAAGCCTTTATGCGAAAACTTGTACGTGTGCAAGTTTAAGTCATCGAATGATTTCATATTATATTTTGTGGCTTTTCTTTCTGCAATTCAGCTTCAAATTTGTGATAATTCTTCACACAATGGCTTCATTTTTTAATATATAAACATATTTATAACAGCACAAGAAATTTTAACATAAAGCATTGATGAAAAGAATCAAAAGATACTAAAAGCCAAAGAAATACAGTCAGCACTAGTTGTTCTGATAACCCAGGTCCATAAAAAGCAGAAAAGAATCAAATAAAACCATGTCACCCAGTAATCTTGTACCACTCCACACAACATTGCTGCGTCATGCTTGTTTACCTGAATGATCACTCTGCGTCGGACCACCCTGGTGGTCACCACCTCCTCCTCTGAGCTATCAGAGGACAGCATCCCTAGTTCCTCATCTATCTCCTAAGAGACAGCACACAGCCAGCACAGCAGGTCAACACAACAGGTCTGCACTAGGTCACTGGACCAACCTCTTCAATCAAACTCTGCTTTTGCTTCCTTCGTCTTAACCTCACTTCATGTTCTTCACTGACACAGAAGCTCTCATCCTTCGTCTTAACCTCACTTCATGTTCACTGACACAGAAGCTCTCTAATATGAATGGCACGAATAAGTCAAAATCATGGCACATGGATTCGTGAAAAACTGACATGAGATGAAGAGGAGGAAGACTGATGCAAAAAAACGGCAAAGAAATTGCAGATGAAGCGATGAAACCACCATTCTGGGAAAACTTAATACTTATAAGTGGTTTTAAGATCACTAAAAAACCTATAAAGTATTATTTTAATGCAACCAAATGGTTATATGTACACAATTATAGAGTATCTCTTAAAAGATTTACTGCCTATACTTGGGATGTCCGATATTATCGACCGATATTAGCATAATTACGTAATATCGGTAAGGATCATAATCAGTTTTTGTTGCGATAATGAAAACACAATAATGCAATTGGGTTTTGCTCATGATGATTTGACCAAAAAAAAAGGTTTGAAGTAAAAGTGAATTATTATCACTGTGACACAGCACATGATTGCAAACAAAGAAATGTGTCCCCTGCCCTTAACCCAAATGGCTGCATCTATCATATCGGTTGATATCAGAATCGGAAATTAAGTGTTTGGACAATATCGGCATATTAGATATCGACAAAAAGTTAATATCGGATTCCTAGCGTCTTCATTTTAACAAAAAGTAAGCAAGGAATATATTGACTGAATCCCTTTTGTAACTCTTGAACAAAAGGTACTGGTATTGGTAACATTGATATAAACTTTTTTTTGTTTAAATGCCCATGCAAATATGCAGCTAACTATTACTCTTTTATTAGAGTACAGAGAATGATTAGCTGTTTTGACACAATTTTACACACAGCAACCTTAATTTCCACAGTCCACGTGCACTCATGCATTACTGTTGTCTAGCGCATCTTCCCTTCTTCTTCAGAGAAGTGCCTAAATGTACAGGATCTGATGATTAAAAACAACCACAAACAAAAGATGCAAAGAGAGCTGAATGTTAAATGACAAGAATGGATTAGGTGTCTATCTATAAGTGCATGTAAATGTCACTGATTTTCAACACTCTAGAAAGAATTTAAAGTGACATCTACACACAGTCAGCATTTTTCTCACTGTTTTATACGAACTGAAAACTGAAGCACACATCAGCCGCATTTAGTTCCTCAAGTGCACGTTTGAGTTTCTAGTTCCCTGAACCTAAACTGCAGCACCACAGCAACAAGCCTGAACCAGGCAAAACACCAAACAGTGCAGGGTCACACTCATGCTCAACCTCTTACCCTTCCCAAGAAGTCATCATCATCATAATACTCTGCCTGACCTCTCGGAGGAAGCTCCTCACATGTTGCCAGGTCAGTCTGTGGCTGACCTTCTCGTGAAGCATCAGAATCATAAGCAAATTCCCCAAGGCTTTCACTGCCGGAGGAGCAATGCTTGTAATCTTCAACTTGGAGAAAAGGATGACCACTTAGGAAACCGGTGTTTGGGCTACTCCCAGGCAAGGGGGATGGTGGTTCGGTGATATGATAGGCAACGTTAAGTTTCACTTTGGCTTCTTCTGATTCAGAATGGTCAGAAAAGACTTGTTTGCAGTCAAAAAATTCCACGTCCGAGTCCGATTGCTGTGGAGACCTACAGGTCTCATGGGGATCTTTGGGTGGACCCTTGAGTTCTTCTGATTCTAAATCTGAGACCGTTTTCTCAAAGTCTGAGAGGACTTTCTTAAAACCAGGGGAAAACTCAAAGTCTTGGGTTTCTGTCACCGTAACATCTGTACTACCCTGGGACGAGGCACTGAACACTGGAGATTCTGGACTCATATCATTTACAGAGTCTTGGCTACATTCAGAAACTCTTAGGGTTTGATGTCCTGAAAACACTGCTTCATAGTCTGGTGGAACCAAAAATTGGTTTGACATTGGTGAAAAGAGTTCAGTGGTTTCTGCTTCCCTGGGGGGCAACTCCCATTTAGAATAACCCTGCAGTCTTTCTGATGTTAGACCTAATGTCTTTTCAAGTGATGGAAGAACTGGAGTTACGGTTCTGTGGGTTGTGTTTGCATTTTGCTCAGACAACTGGAAAGGAATGGATTTTGTTTGGTTGTCATCAGGGAGCACAACATGAATTGTACTAGTTTCTTCTATTGCCGATGTAGCTGACAAAGGCACTTGATCACCTGTTGTCTGAGAAGAAGCCTGTGAATGAATGTCAACATTGTTTATATTCACTAAGGGAATTATCTTACATTTGACCAAAGCTGCTTTTAGACATGCACTGGACACCAGACCAGACAGCTTTTAGACATGCACTGGACACCAGACATTATCTTAACCCTCCTGTTGTCCTTCCGCCAACAGGAGGGTTAGGAGGATCCAGAGGGGCTATGTGATAAAACGAAAATGTTTCTTGCCAATAATTTTAACCAAAATCTTACGATAATGGTTAAATAAACTGCTAAACAAACATCTGCATACTGTATGCCACAGTAAGGGAATCAACACAACCTGTCTGAAACATGCAATCTTCCATAGGGTTAATCGGAAAACATGTAAGCAATATCAACTGGACATTGCCTTGTTAGTCTTTTCGTGAGGTTAAAACATGCAACAACATCAGCAAAATCACAACCATCATCAGAAGCAAACCAGGACTTGGAAACCTAGTTTAATCTGAACTGCATCACAACCATCATCAGAAGCAAACCAGGGCTTGGAAACTGCTCACTCCACTACAAAATCTCAGCAACAATAAAATCCTCCAAGTTGTCGTTAGTCCTTTGGGGTCTGTCAAACGTTGTGTTACTGCTTCATCCACAAGTCTGTTAATGAACTCTTCTATAGTGCTATATTGTCATGCTCTTTCTCTTACCCTTTGGCTTTCAGTCTGACACTCTAGTTCCAAAGCAATGGCGATGTTTATCGTTTCATCCTTCCTGATTTCACCTTGGGTTGTTGATGACGTTGAAGGAAAGTCTTCATTTAAATCTTCTTTACAAGTTGTGGTTAGGAAATTTGAAATACCTTCAGTCTTTGGTTCCTTTGGTGTACATTCTTTGTAGGACAAAACTTCGGCTTTGGACTTTGTCTCGCTACTTTGAGTTGATAATTGTGATACAGTCGCCCATTTTTTGATGGGTGATTGCTGCTCAGGTAACAAAAGTTCTGATTTAGACACCAATGGATTGATTTCCTCAACATCAAAAGCAAATTCCCCGTCTGATTCCCCGGCTACAGATTCTGGACTCAGTGGTCGTGGGCTATCATCAATCCAACACTCAGCAGGTAGTGCCTCAAACTCAATATCTGATGTCAAAGACACTGGTGAAGATGACCTTTCACACGGGGAAGTCTCCATAAAATAGGAAGATAATATCCTCATAAACTCAGGTATAGGTGAGTCGGGCAGAAGTCTCATGAGCTCATTGATAGATGACCCAGACTCAGGAGACGATGGCCTTTCAATGTCAGCAGCTCTGGAGGATGTGACCACAATCTCAGAATCTGTGTCGGAACTCAGTGACTCACATGATGATGTTGATCTGAAAGTTGCGGCAAACTCCTGTGAGACTGTGAACTGAGGAACGGGAGAGTCTGGAGACAGAGCACTGTGGTTATTCAACTCAGCCATGGATTCTGGAGATGATGGTCTTTGCTCTTCCATTTGCATGGCTGATGCAAACTGAGAATCCAAATCTGCACACGTATAGTCTATATCAGACGCCAAAGATTCGGGAGAGGTTGATAATGTTCTCAGGAATGTCGTATAAACTGGCAAAGATTTTGTGAATTCTGGTAAAGGTGAATCGGGAGAAAGCGGTCTACCATCGTCAATTGATACAGATTCTGGTGAGGATGCTCTTGGTTCAACCATCATTGCTGACGTTGGTGACATGGGTCTATAGTCGGTCAAGGACTCTGGTGAGTAACATTGACCATCTTCCTCGCTACCAAAATCTACAAATGAGTCAGAGGCCAGACTCTTAATCTCCCTGGTGTCTTTGTATAACGCAACTTTTGAAGAAAGTGCATTTTCAAACTTTGGTGAAGATGGTTCCAGAACAGGAATTTCAGATTGGACATTTTCACTTAAAGTGCAAAGAACATTTTCATCAACTATTGTTGTTTCTGTTGAAGTCAGTTGATCTTCAACATCTAGAAGGGGTTCTTCAATATTACCAGTAGGGCATTTTTCATCAGCTGCATCATCTTGCTCAACATCTGCAATTCTTCCGTACTCTATTTTGCTGCCAATATATTGCATCACTGCTGTCTTACTGCTAAAGGTTTCTCCAGCATACTGAGGATCGTGAACTTGAGAAATCAGCTTCCGTAACTCGACATCATAAATAAGATTATACTCAGCTACTACAACAGCATCTTCAACAACACCTTCATCACGAGTTGCATCAGTGGCAGGCCGGTCATTCATTGCTGGTTTATGGGGTAACAGCATTTCTTCCTTGTTTGATTCAGCAGATTCTGGTGAGTCAGGTCTGTTCTCTGCACAAAATATATCTGAATCTTGAGGAAAATCGTCTGAATCTGAGAATTCTATGGGTGACGTGTCTCTCACAGTTACTGTATTTTCTACTGTTGCCAATGAAAAGTCTGGTACTGGTGAATCAGGAGACATCTGCTCATTATCTTTATCTGATCTTTCAGACTGGGGTGACATCGGTCTCATATCAGTAAAGTCTGTTTCATGTGAAGAAAAGTCTGACACATCACATTCAGCATCTGAAAATGTTCCCGGTGATAGACTATCGAAGTACCTTTCAGCTGACGTAATCTCTGTAACATTTTGTATGAATGAAGGAAGAGGTGAATCTGGAGACAAGCCTTCAAATTCAAATGATAGCGGGCTCACATGTTCTACGTT